CCTTTAGCGGCCACCTCTCCGCGCGGCTCCTTCGAGGGCAGCCGGCACTAACCCCGGCCGTCCTCTGCAACCACCTGCCAAGGGCATTTCCGCATGAGCAGGACGCATGTTGTCATGGGGTCACGCTGCTACCAAAGCCTTACCTGAGTTACAGGTGGATGTGTTGGTATTTCATCAGGGCTAAGCAAAAGCAGAACTTCATCTCCATTAGCATCAGGCAGAAGCACCTGTGGTCTATAGTCCACTGACGATTGTGGCCCCTTTGCCTCAATTAATGGAGATTTGTGGTTGTATGCACCAGGCTCAGGTGTTCCTGTAATGTTCACATCCGAGTTAACACGCTAGTGATTCAGGGCTGTTGCTGCCCATTATCGACACTTCGGTACACATTCTTCTAGGGCAAACAGCCTGCTCTTCTAACCCTGATGCCACAGCAGCAAATAATAAAACCCTTGAAGAGCATCTGCTCTATAAGTAAACGGTTCCTGTTCTTCATCTCATGAGCTCCACTTTCCTCTGATCATTTCAGCACTTGAAAATATATACATAAAGATGAAGAGCTTTTTCATTACATTGTACATGCTGTGATTTCCAGATTGCTCTACGTTTTTCACTTGAGGTTTTCCAAGTATGAGTTCCTAAAGGATGAGATAGCTCGTAGCAGATATAGGATATACAAGCTTTCAACTCTACAGCCTCAGTCACACACTCAATCATGCACTGATTTTACTGCAGGATCAGACCACATCTTTAAAATACGACTCAAGCCGATAGTAAACAAAGTCTTCATCATACAGTAGCTGCCTGGCTTTCACTATGAAATGAATTGTCGTTGTCGTTTCTAGTTTTTTTCTAGTCAGTGACAGAGTTTACATCAAATAACACAGAAACAACGGCTCTACAGTCAATCAACCCTTCATCCTTCTTGAAATGCAACTCTCTCTAAGCTTAACCTAGTTCAGAAACTGGGAAATAAAAACAAGTTGTTTTCTGGAAACCAGGAAATAAAACTTACTAAACGGCGGTTTGGCAAACCAGCGTGTGGAAACCACGTGCGCTTTTGCAAGGGATGACACAGGATTCATAAGAACTACAAGAACTCAGGAAGTTTTCTTTATGGCTTATCCACAAGACAGTGTTATAGGTTACCCAGACAGTATGACAATGGCATCCAGAAATCACATTATGAGCCAAACCATACAGCAAATGGAAAAAAGGGCAGGTAGAGGTGCCAAGGGAGGTTGGGCACCACTGAATCATTTTTCTGGCTCCGTTACTTACTAAATGAGGAGTCTACTAGAGCATACACTAAATGGTACTCTATAATATGCTGCATATGTTTGTTTTTTCTGCCATTTTATTGAGTATTTTGCTGTAGAATCCCTGTTTTGACTTCAAAACATTTTTTGCAGTCAAGTCAGGTTCTAGACTGGTCTCTTTTTCTGTTACATCATAAACAGGTTTTCCATCTGTAAGCCTAAATAAATAGTTTTGCATCGTTAGAAACCCTTGTTACCCAGTGCTGCCGCGAAGGCTCTTTCCCCCTGTGCTATCTGCTCTGCAGCAAGCTTCTTTTTCTTTCAAATCGTAGCAGTTTTCCTTCACAGCCGTGTTGTAATGTTTACCGTGCAAACATTGCAGCGGGAGAAACTCCTTCTCGATCAACCTCGGAAGCGATAACGTGGGGACTTTGTTTAGGAAGAGAAGTCCAGCACACCGCAGCACGGCTCGTGCCCAACGGCAGGCAGGCCGCCGGCCTCTTACCCGGCTGCGCTCCCGGCAGCGCTGACAGGATGAGGAACATGGGCTTAATTTCCAATTTATTTTCCTCGAGAGGAATAAATCACACGACGCCGGGCCGGGGTGTGTGGGGGGGTGACACCGCCTTGTTTCTGACTGAACACGAGTGGGGCGCAGGGGAGAGCGGCGGGAAAGCGCAGCCCTGAGGGAAGCTCCGCCATCACCCGGCGCCTCCCAGCAGCCCCTCCGCGGCCCCATTTGCATAGGGCCCTGTGATGCCGCACGCGAC